TGAACACTGGGAACAGCCACCGAGACTCAGCCTCCAGCCTCTGCACCTTCAGGGGCTTCTCACCCATCCCCCCTCCCTCGGCCAGGTCCCAGTTTAGAGCAGACAACTATTCCACATCAGCAAGTATTTACTGTGCATCTGGGGGACAAGGCCCCATCGTTCTTAGAGCTGTGAAAATACAGAGGTGAACAAACATAGTCCATGACTTGAGAGCATTTCAATCTAGCAGGAGAGCTAGTGTACATACACAAACAATTACACAAGGAAGAAAATCGCTAAGTGCCGGACAGCAGAGTTTACCTGTAAGAGAGAGGAAGGTGCTACAGAAACACAGAAGAGGAAGAGGCCTTCCTGCTAAGGGCCTCAGTAGAGAGAAGACTGTTCAACAGCATCTTATTCAGTATTTAATAAAAAGTACCAGGTCCCAGACACTGCCATGAGACAGCGGCCCGACGAAGCTAAGCCCTGGAGACTGTTAAGGGCTGAGTAGGTGAAGGGACCAAGGTGGAGAGGGAAAGGCAGGACGGTGTAAGTCGAAGCACCGAGATGAGCCCAAGTTCACAGCAAGAAAAAAATCAAGTTCTACGAACCGGGTTTGTGAAGGGAGGTTGCAGCTGCTGGCTGACAGATTAGAAATTCTGCAGGGAGGACTTGGGGCCTTACTTTAGAGGCAACGGGGAGCCAGTGAAGGCTGCTTTTAGCATGGTGGGGGCATAGCCAGGGCTGTGCTTTAAGAGATGAGTCTGGCAAAAAAAACCCAGATAATCGATTTACTGGGGACACATTCATCCCAGTTTAAAGATCAAGGCCAAAGGTAAATCCATAATGGCCGGATTTCAGTGATCCTTTCCAAAAAACAATTGGAGGACTGGCTGGATGTGGGGGGGAGGGGGGCGAGGGGAGGGAAGGATGCTGAAGCCCAGCTACAAGTTCAAATCTTATAACGGCCATATCATTACAAAAACCAAACCAGGGACCCGCAAAACCAACCAGGCACTTGGGGCAAGGGTCAGGGAAGCTTCAAAGCCTGCCCTTCCCCCAGCCCCCAATCTCCTCCTGACTTTGCTGTTGGTGACCGACAACTTGCTCCTGGTCCTTACCCTTCACGTCTTGCCTCTGCCGCCGAAGCCCTCCAATGTGGGAACTTCCAAGGAAGAAAACAGGAGCCTGTATCTGCCCCTCACCCCTTCCAGGTACCATGCAGCTGCCCAGCTGCCATGTAACTTACTAGCCTTGGACAAAACAACCTATTCCCCTCCTAAAATCTCTTATTCCTTTATGTCTCCTCCCGAAATGGAAAGGCAGGTGGAGACACAGAAATACACAGACTCAGGTGGGAAAATTGGGCCAGCTGGTGTGGCTCTAGTCCGCTGCCTAGGACAGGGACCCTTGGAGAAGTCAGGAGAGTTAAAGCGAAGGAAGCCCAAAGGAGCTCAGCTGCAGCCCTTTGACACCCAGGAGTGCATATTCAGCCACCTATTAAGATGGTGGCTAAGGGACTGGAGCTCTGCCTGGAGGCTCTTCCTCGGGGCCCTGGAACAATCTTCTGCCTCCTGGGAACCCCTAGACCGTGCACTTAGACTGAGTATTCTGAGTCCTGAACGTTTGAATCCCCTTCCAGGCTGTAAAGTCTTTGAGGCCACTGAACAAGCCTCAGCGTCTTCTGCGACAGCCAGCCCCGTGCCTTGAACACAGTAGGCATGAAAATAACCCTCTGAACCGACCCAGGACCCACTTCTCCCCATCTAGGATGGCCTCCTCCATGCTGGAGTCACATCTGCTTAAAGGTTCTCAGAGGATTCAAGCAGTGGAGGGGGAGGGGAGCTCCTCCTGCCCTGTGGGTCTCCCCCACCCCACAGCCGAAGCCCAGCCCCAGCCTCATATTATTTTCTGGACAAAAGGGCCCTTTTGCTTCACTTCCCTGGAATCAGTTGTACAAATATTTTTAATCACCTCTGAAATCGGCCTTTCCCCAGGCTTAGCCACCCAGCCCCCAGCTCTGGTCTGAGTCAGTCCGATCCAGTTCCCGATCCCCTTCCCCCTCCCCTCTCCAGGGGGAGCAGAGAGGCCTCAGCAGTGCTGGTGGGCTCTGAGGCCCAGCCAGGCCCCACCAGCTTCACCCAGTGACAGGGAGACAGCAAGGCCTTCTTACCTTCCAGAGCAACACCCTCTTCACCAGCCCCCACCATCCACAAACCCTGGAGACCTCTCCCCCCACCTCTGCCCCTCCAGGGCAAAGGACATCACCCTGGAAAGAGAACTCCGGGCTTCATGTGGCTGCCCAGGTCTGTCTCCCAGGCTCAAGGATACAGAGTAAGATACAGACCCATGGCCAGGGGCTACCTTCAGGGGTGCCATGACCATGTATAGCCCCCTCTGTGGGGGAGGCTCACCCAAGGGAACCACAGAGCATCCTCCTTCCTCCCATCTGCCACCACTCAGCAGCCAACGGGGAAGGATGGATGGACTCACCCGCAGACCTCCAGCCTTCTCTGTCCATCTTCCTCTCTCAGTCCCTGGTTAGGTCCCTCTGTCTTACCTCTCCGTCCAGGGGCTCTGATGTTTACTCCACCCAGTAAGCAGGGGTGGGAGAGATGCCTGTGCCTGCAGGAGCCACCTCAATGCCCAGGTTGGGGTGGGGGCTTTCCGGAACCTCAGGACCAAGAGTGAGCACTGGGGCCAAAGTGCCCCAAACCGTCTGAGACCCGGAAGTCTTCAATCCCAGGGTCTGCTCTGGAATGTCACTCTGGAATGTGCCCCACCCCCCAACAGCTCTCCCTCCCCCAGCCACATTTGAAGGTACATGGGGGGCGGGGGAGCTCCAGGAGCACAAAACCCGACTTGCACACATTCTGGTCCAGGGGCTTCAAGGCCCCGGAGTTTTTAAGTGGTTGGGTTTCCCTGGGGGCGGAGGTGGAAAGACGCCGGGAAAGCTCAGGCAGGGAGTCGGGATGTAGCGGCCAGGCTGCAAATCGAGGCACTTTGATAGTCTTAAGTTCGAAACTCCCCGCTGGGAGACTCCCAGCCCTCCCCTCCTCGCTCAGGGCCCCGCTTCTAGGGTCTACACCCGCGCCCCCCTGGTGGTCCGAACGGGAAGAGGGGAGCCAGCCACTCTCTTTCTCTCATTTCCTGGGGCCATAGAAACGTGCCCTCCCCACCCACGGTAGCGGGCAGCCGAGAGGAGGCCAGTGGAGCGTCACTGTTGACCGGGATCTCGCACTGAGAGGCAAGGGGGTGGAGGGGCGCCCCTCGGAGACCCCGACGGTGGAGTCCTTTGCCCGCCCTCCAACCCGAGCCGCAGCACGGGCTCTCCCCACCCCCAGTCGGCTTGGGTTTGGAAACTTTCAGCGACTGAGCGGAGTTGGCGCGGCGTCCCCCGCCCCGCAGGATCTCCAGCCGCCGCCTCTGCCCTCGCCCACTCCCCGCCAGCCAGCCAGACCCGGCTCTCCCGGGCGGCCCAGGGGAGGGCGGAGCGGGCAGGCAGCTGCCTTACCTGGGACGCGCCGCCCGCCCGGCTCCGGCGCGGCGTGCGGGGCCAACTCCAGCCCTAGGAGGGGCGGGGGTGGGAGGGACTCGGCGCGGGGCGCGGGGCCAGGCCCAGCCCTGGCTGGGTGGCGGGGCTCGGACGGGGTATCGGGGCGCAGGGCCTGCCTCTCTGGGGGACCCGGGCTGAGCCGGCCGAGCTCGATCGCTCGCTCTCGCGCCCGCCTCTCCCCACGCAGCGCTCCTTTCTCCGGCCGAGGGTGGGCTGGCGCCTGCATCACCGTGACATCACCTCCATTCAGGGCGCTTATCGGGCGCCCGCAGTGCTCCAGGTACGTCTAATCCGTTCACACAGTAACAAAGCCTGCCCGGCCCTCCCCGCCCCGACTCACCTCCGGGCTCGGCCGAGTCGCACTTTCCGGCCGGGGAGGGAGCGCGGAGTTCCTGGCGGGGCTGGCGTGTGGGTTGTTGCTGTTTACTGCCACGCCCCCGCACTCGGGCGCGCGCACACTCGCGCGCACTCACTTTCTGGATTCGGCTTTCCCTCGGCCAAGCGGTGTGGGGTGCAGCCCGGCACCCCCAGCGGGCAGGCTCTCCCTCCCCGCATGTCCCGGCGCGCGCGATCGGCCACGCGCGGGGGTACCTTGGCGCGACTCTCCGTGACGGACACCCAGCCTTTGTCACCTTCGTCCTGGCTCTCCCGTGAGACACAAGCTGGGCGGTTAGCTGCTCCGGGCTGGAGCGAGGCGCACACTCAGACACAAAGTCCGTCTTTGTCACGCCTTCTACGCCCCCTCCCCTCCCGAGCCTGCACACGTGGACACACCACACATCGAGTGTCCGCCACTTGCACACGCGGTCTTTCCCTGGGACCCCAGTCACCAAGTGTACGTAGGATTGCCACCGCGCGCGCCCCTAACGCGTGGGCTGAGTCCAGGACAACTCCGAACCGTGGACAAAGGTCGCCCTGGGCCCGGCTACCCTGCTCCCGCGCTGCCTGCGACCTCCCCAGACACTGCCCAACTCCGAGCGCGTGCTCCCCTCCCCGCGTCCCCGTTCCCTGTTCCGACTTGTCCTAATTAGCCTTCACGGTTTTGTTCCCCAAGGTACAGTGTCTAACCCGGCCCCCGCGGTCTCTGCGCTCCGGGACACACGGGCCTTGACTCTGAGTCCCGCCCCTCCCGCGGGGACCTTTCCACGAGTTCAGGTTCCCTCGCGCCCCACCCTCACGCCCTGCCCCGGAGTGGATCCGCGAGTTGCCACCCTTTCCCCTCCAGCTTCAGGAATCTGCCGAAAGGGAGCCTCAGAAATTGGGAAGCGAATCCGGACTGGGACCTCTCCAGCCCTGTAAACAAGAGGAGATTTTCCGGCCGCCTTCCCCCCGGGCGGCGGGCCCCGCGGGTGGTGCGCGGCGAGGCCTACTTAGCTCCGCGCCCGAGGTCCGCAGGGGCCGAGGAGCACAGAGAAGAGAGAGGTTGTTGGGCCTGGCGGGGGCCCCGGGGAAGCGGAGGGAGGGCAGGGCCCTGGGTCTCGGGGTGCCCGCTCCCGTGACGCCCGAGGTGTCTGGGGGATCGCCAGCAGCCGGCGGTCGGAGCCAGCCGGTGGAGGGGCGGGCGGCTGGGCGTGTTTGCTCAGCCCCGGGCGCCCGCGAGGGGGAGGGGAGGAGGCCGGTCACCGGCTAGGGGGTAGCCAGGTGGGGAGAGCAGGGAAAGGGGAGGGGTACCTCCCGGGCTGTTTGTTTGCGTGCTTCGATCTATGACAACCTGGAGTCTAAACTCTATGAATCACCCGGAGTTGCCCGAGCGATAAACCTCAGGCCGGTTCCTCCCCTCGCACACCGGTTTTCTGACTCGAGAAGGGAATGTTTGCTTAGTGGCCGGAGCTGGCGGTGAAGCCCTGGTTTTTAGAACCCTGTATTCCTTTCTGTGCCTTGCTCTCGCTGGCTGGGCAGGGGTGGCAAAGACTGAATTGTTTCAGTCTCTTTAAAAGATCGAGAGCAAAAGCGCTTTGCTCCTGTCGAGTGGCGCGCTACTCCTGCCCCGCCGGCTACATCCACCTCCCACCCCCATGCTAGGGTGGCAAAGGCTTGTTCGGTCTGGGCAGTCGGGTGCCCATGCTGGGAGGGGAAAGAGCCGGTCAGAACTAAGTGAGTTGGATAAGTCACTCTGGGCAGCAAAGCTGAACTGGGTGTGCTGGGAGGCGTCGCTCATTAGCATAAGTGCTCCCCAGTGGGGAAGGTACAGGGGAACAGCCGGGGGGGACCAGACACTGTGACCTTAAGAAGCAGAAGGCGAATAGTGGATCCTGCAGATTTGTTTTCAGGCTTGGGAAGCTCTTTTCTCTACCTAGATTCTCGGAAAAGACAGCTCTTCTCCCTGCCCCCCTGCCCCGGCAGGGGAGAGGCTGGGGTGTCTGGGGCCTGGCCAGCCACGGGAAGTAGTCTGGAAAGGTGCCCGGGCACCCCGGCAGCCCTGCCCTGCCCTCAGCCAGCCCCGGGCAGTGGACGGCAGTGGAGATGTAGGGCAGTTTTCTGAGAACTGTCCGCTTCTTCCCTGTTCTCGCCCTCACTTCTGGAACAGGATCTGCCTTCAAAGGACAAAGCAAGTCGCTCAGGGCAGATGGCCCGGGCCTCTGGAGCACCAGGGCCTCTGGAGCACCAGGATGTCTGTTCGGCTGCCTTCTGGTGCCTTCTGCTTTCGATGCTGTGCTGGCTGCCTTCTGCTTTCATCCTGTCCCTGGGGCTGTGTTGATCGGAGATGGGAGCCTGCACTGGTGCACGAGGTTCTAGGGGAGAACTCCAACCACAGGGTCATCGGTGCCCCCCAAACGCCCCTCACCCTGATTTAATAACCCAGTAGGCATAGAACCCATTATGAACTTCATTTTCACCAAAAAATACCACTTTGACAAGTGGTCCCACGTGGCCACTGGGCACCTGCTATTCAGAGAGCTCCTGGACTTGTTGGGTTGTGCAGGAGCCTGTCCGTGCCACCCCGCCCGCCCCCACCCCATGCAGCACTTCAGTATCTGCGGGCGAAAGGAACCACCTTTATTCATCGAAAAGCCTTCTGACAAGTCTGAGGTCCTGACAAGGCCCGGGGCGGAGCCACCTGCCAGCTGTGTGGCCTGGGAAAGTCACTTCACCTCTCTGAGCCCCACTTTCCTCTACTGCAAAACGGGGATGACAGTACCACCTCCAAGATGAAGCCCTGTCTGGAATGTGCCTTGCACAGCCTGGCACTTACAGATGGTCACTGGTCAGCCTCTCCTCTCCTGGTGTGACTGTCCCTCGCCTGTGAGCCTCGGGCCTTTCGGCGAAAGAGCTCTAACAGTTGTCAGTTGTTAACGCAGACTCTTGACAAGCCGCCTCTCTGACATCCTATCAGTTATGTTTACCACGATCAGAAGAGCCTGGCCACGCCATGCCCCGGGCTTTCACCTGTGCCGGTCCTTCGACCTTGGACATCCCATCCCTCTCACCCCCCCCCCTCTGCCTCAGAGCCCAGCCCCGATGTCCCTTCCTGCATGGGGCACCTTCCTCACCTTCCCCAGCTGCCCTACTTACCCACAGCCTGTTATGCATTTGTTTATCATTTATCCCAGTGTTCATAATTAACCTTCTAAATTGCTGTCTCTCCAATTAGACTGTGCCCTTCTTGAGAGCAGGGACATGTCTCACCTGTCTGGTTGTCCCTGGTGTCTGGGACACAGTGGGGCACACAGCAGCTGTTGTCAGTAGATGCTCGTGGAATATCCCATATTCTGTGGCCTGCACTGCTGATCTTACCCCCTTACACCAGTGGCCTTGCGCACAATGCCAGCGCTGCTCTGCCCCTCCCTGGGCCACCCTTCCTGGGAAGAAGGCAGGCCCCAGCACCTGCTGGAGAAGGCCACCTCCCCTGGGCCCACAGTGCCATGCAGCACAGCCCAGGGTTTGGGGCCTGGAGGAGCCTACCCAGGGGTGCCAGGGGTCAGTTATGTTCCCTAGAGGGACTTTCCAGTTTGGGCAGCAGGCGTTCTGGACTGCATGATCTTGCAGGAGTCATTTCCTCCTCCGTGGTGTAGGAGACCTCCTCCCTCTTCTTAGGGGGTCGAGTGTCCCCATCTTGCAGCTGGGCCCCAGTGGCGCGAGAATAGTCCCTCACTGAGCTGAGGGTGGGGCTCCTGCTCTGTGACAGGTAGGGGCCCCACAGCCGGCTGGTGAACAGAGTTAGCATCTCACCCCCCCTGGCTCCCAGGCTCCTATAAACTGGTTACCGCCCAGGCTGCAGGGTCTGGCCAAGTCTCCTTTTCTCTTCGGCTCAGAGGACTTCCTGCTTGGAGCAGCGGGAACCACGTGGTTTTTTGAGAGGACTCAGGTGCCACGGTGGCCCCTTAAGAAGCAGGAAGCCAGGGGCCAGGGACTCATTCGCCACAACCGGCTGCCCATGGATGAGCCCTCTGGAAAGGTACCCGGAAGCAGGCCTTGGGCAGAGCCTGCTGGAATGTCACCTGATGCTGAACCCTTCCACAGCAGCCGCACAATCTGCTTCTCCCTCATCCCCCTCCCTGTCCGGGGCTCGGTGGCCACTCACCAACGCCCTGTGGCAGGAGAGAGCTGGGTTTCCTAAGCTGCCCCGTCCGGACAGCCTCCGTCAACAGGCCGAGTGAATCATGAGAACCAGGCCTCAAGCCGAGGGTGCAGGGATTCAGGCCACTCGGTCTCCCCACCCCTTCCAAAATCAAAAAGGAAATGTGTAACCGGCGTGGCAGTTAGCTTCCCCACCTTCAGGAGGAGTCTCACCCCAATCTGAGAGCGTTTTGGGGGTGAGTGCACCTACCTCACCCCAGCAGCTGTCTCAGCCCCCAAACCGATTGCCCCTGCTGGCAGTCTTCCCTCCAGACACCCTGCCAACCCCCATCCGGTGCGGGATCTACACCGACCTCACTCCGGCACTCCTTGCCCATAACACCCTCGCTGGCTCCCACTGCCTTTCAGTGAAAGTCCAGACTCCCTCGCCTGGCATTCGAGGCCTCCGCAACCTGGGCCCCAACCTCATCTCCTTCCTCTTTCCCACAGGAAATGGTCCCTCCAGCCTGAGAGCTGCTCCTAGTCTGCCCCACACCCACTTGCCTTGTGTGGCTTCACTCGCATTGTCCCCACTCTCAATCCAGGGTGCCCTCCTCCTCCTCCTCTCGGCCCCTCTGGATCTGGCCCCCTTAAAGCCCTGGACTCCTTCCAGAAGGTTTTGCTGGTGCCCCTGCCCCACAGTCCTCTTCCTCCCTCCGAGAGCTCCGCCTCTCGAGCGCATTTGCTGCTCTTACACTGCTGTGCGTGGGCAGGTGTGTATATCTCATGCATAGATACCTTGCCTCCCTGATTCCGCGATGGGCTCTGTAGGGAATGGACTCCAGATTTCATGCCTCTGCATCCTACAGCCCCTAGCATGCTGCTTTATACACCCAGAAATTGAGCATTACATATCTGTGGTTTATTGGATTGATCGACCAAGAGCCAGGGGCTGTCAGCCTTCTGTAAGGGGAAGGGAGGGCTCAGAGTCTAGGCTTGGCTTTGCTGCTAACAGGAACCCTAGGCTCAGATCCTGGGCCCCCTCTGGCTCCCAGAATCCCAGGCCGAGTAGTTCAGAGAGACATGGGTCAGTGTCATAGTATAATACCCACAATAGCTTACCTCTGTGTAGCACTGTACAAAGTACCTCTTGTATACTTGATGTTTGCAAGCTTATAAGCATCCATAGGACAGACTTTATTGTCCCCATTTTATAGATTTAAAGACTGAGGTTAACAGAGGCTCAGTGACTGGCTGTGGATTGGAACACTGCTGTAACTCACTGGACTTGCTCTTCACTGTACCGCACTCCCTAGGACGCTTCTCTCATCTCTTATGTAGCCCTTAC